GCTGGAAGAGCTTCCGGTAATTGCCTACTGCTCCTGCCTCCTCCATTTCTTGAGCCCGACTGGTCCACCAGGCTTCCTTGTCAGCACGTAGGCTCTGCTTTAGTTCACGCCTAATAGCCCGTCTGATCACAGCGTGTTCAGAACCAGCCGGGAGATGTCTTCTAGATTCCAACAGGTTCACGGACCTCTCGGATATCCAGTGACTGGTGCGGTGACGACTGATAGTGCCACAAACAGATGCTCCTGCGTCGTGCATAGCGGCCGAGATCCTATTCCACTGAAGTTCAGTGTCATTGGGACAAGACAGCGAGAGTTCGCTATGCAATGCTTCCTGATAGGCTGGGACAATTTCTCCGTTGCCAATCGCGGGAGACGCTTTGTGCGCCTCCCGGTAAAGTTCATGCAGAAACGACAGCGCACCAAGGTATGATCAGAGTCGACACAAGTACTCCAGTACGAGCGGCAATCCAGAATGGAACCGCGCCACCTGTAACTTATGGCTATGTGGTCAATTTGGGTCCATCGCTGGCCAGCTACAGGTGGACGCCAAGTGGCACTTCGGCGCCCACTATGTCTAAAAGCAGTGCTACTAAGAAACAAATGGTGCTCCGCACACAGTTGCAGCAGACGCTCGCCGTTGTCAGTCCGTTCGGAGTTAAATCCATACTTACCACCCAGCTGAGCTTCTGAAGAGCTCAGACGCCCTACTTGTGCGTTCATATCCCCTGCAAGTACTATAATATCTGAACTAGTAGTACTGAGTAGCAGAGTGTTCAGTTCATGATAGAAAGTGTCCTTGACTGCATTAGAACTGCAGTCGGTGGGAGCATAAGCAGAAATCACAAACAAACAGCGTTTTGTTTTACTTCGCGAATTCACCTTAGCTGATGTCGTCAAACGGGCTGCACATAAACGGCTGTTCACCGGAATCCAATCAACCAACGATAACTCAGCCTTGCAACTGAGAATGATACCTACACCAGCTTGACCCGTGAGTGCCGCATCGGCGTCTCCGGATGCGTGCAACCAATAACGAGAGGATAAGCCGGGTGCAGTCAATTCAATAACCCCGTTAGGGTCATTAATCCTAGTTTCGGACACACAACACACATCAACACCCAGTGTATCCAAGGTGCGTGCGAGTGCAGCCTGCTGACCTGTTTGTCTTAGAGTGCGGACGTTGAATGTCGCCATGGAAACGGGACAGCGTGGCCTTATAAGGGACTTTTGCCGATAGGCGTCCGATAGGTGCTGTGGGATGGTGACTGCAGACGGTACTACTCCAGTAGCACTTCGGTTGCTGTCAATTAAGCTGGGAATTATAGAAGGAAGGTTAGTAATAGGGGCCGGGATGGGAGTAAGAGAAAAAGGTGGAAAAGAAAGAAGGGAGGCGCCAGCAGTAGCATGCTTTCGCTTATCCGCCCTGCTGTATGCAGCAGATAAGGCGACCCTTGATAATCTGCGCGACGGCCGATGCAGGATGAAGTTTATGTTTGAAGAAAATGTCATGGTTGTATGTGGGCTGGGGTACTGCCAGGGCGCCCAGACCTAGACAGGAGAACGATTAGGGTCCTCATCCAAAGCCTTTGGCTCAAAAGCCTGTCCGCAAGGCAGCGGGGAGGTGGCAATGATTTAGTTTTACAGAAATTGACGCCATCCCATTTCAAACCCCCAACCTGGAGGACCAGGAGACTGAGTTTGTCTGACCTCTCACCATTGACCAACCTGGAAGGAGTAGCTTTCAAGATGCTCGGAGGCATCACCCAGTATAGCTCAATGGGTCATTGAGGTACGCAAACCGTCGCACCACGTTAAGGTCCAGTCTCGTTGCGACGGACCTGAACCATGAGACTTCACGTCACACTCCAAGATAGAGTGCATGATAAAACCTGACAAAAGTGGAAGACACAGGGTATCCTCGTCGAACTCCTTTTTGTGCTGGAGTGGTTCTACAGATATGTACATCCGGAAGACGAACAAGAGAACCGAAACTCGCGGTGTAAAAACCGGAGGTCTGACAGCGTTCCGAACCTAGGATTCAGATGAAGCCACGAAGTCTAGTGTTTCAACCAGCGAGACCTGATCGCGAAGAATTTGTGGTAGTGACTGACAAACCTCGATCATCGCTGCCTTCGCAGCTTAGCTCATGCCTATTGGGAGCACCGCATGAGCAATGAGCGTGTTCGGCGTCGCGTATCTGGTGCATGAAGAGGGAGTGAACCGATCAGCACAATTATATAACGCAACAGGCTGCGATGGCTGGGCTACGTGTTGCGCATGTCAGCATACCAACTTCCGCGACGTGCATTGTTTACGCGCCGGGGGTGCGGTTGGAAGAGGAGGGGAGGCCAAGCAATGACTTATTCGAGAGAAATGTAAACCCTCACTTCGAAGTTGGTGTCGGTTGATGCATCCCGACTGCCGGGCTGGGGTCCTAAGAACGATGAACACGTTTGGTTGGACACACTTGCTGATATGGCTAGGAACCGGCCCCAGTGGCGTTTGTGTTGTGAGTTCCTTTGTCCATCCCCCTCCTGCTTAGCCTCCCCCTCTAATCACGATCGCATTCGTTAGGCATAACATAACTTTTTGCGTCACGATAGCCGGTTGTTAGCTCTCCGGAACGATGTTCATCCGTTACTGGGGACTCAGCCGACGTGCCACTGTTTTTTCTTCTTATTGTCTTGTATATGGCGGCACAAAAGCTGAGGTGTTTTCCACCTGCAGCTAACGTGTATAATGATGAGCGCGTTGTAGAACGAGCAAGATATAAAGGATGTCCCCATGTGTTACCCAGTCGCCTGTAGATTCACTCACACTTGTTCTAATTTTCAGTTCAAAAGCTTTCCTCGTTAGCATTTAACAATCGGCTGCCAGAATTGCTCCTCTGGATTCAAACGGGGTTTTAGAATTTCAGATAGAAAGTGCAGGTACAGTGGCGACCCACTGTGCCATTAGTGGAAGCTACAACCCGATACATTGGAGAAATAACCACAACGCCAGAATTCGATGTTTTCGATAAAGAGACGCGCGTAATGCTATCGGCCATCATAGGAGATACTCATCATCATCATCCTCATTACACGTTAGTTGAAGGTGAGAAACAAACCATTGTGTCGCAACACAGGAAGATAAGACATGAATAAAAATTGAGGTGCTAAACATTAGCTAATAATAATAAAAAAACAAAGGGTGACATATTGATTATTAACATACTATGCTTCAAGACAGTGGTTGTGGTTTGAGGGCGAAGATAAGCGGGGTGGGGAGGGACAAAGAAACAACACAAACGCTATTGAAGTCGGCTCCTTGAAATGCCAACTAGTGTATCCAAATAGGCGAGTTCACCGCCCTTCGGATTCTAGCGCAGTAATCGGGAGACGCCAACCGACAAGTTCCAAGCGAGGGACTTCATTCCCATCAATCAAGTCATCGGGTGATCTCTACATTTCTATCCACACCGCGGGCGCGCAAGCAACGCAAGTCGTGGGAGCCCGTGTGCTGGCATGCGCAACACGTGGCCCAACCATCGGAGCATGATAAGTGATATAATGGTGCTGAGCGGCTCACTCACTCTTCCTGCATCAACCACACGATGCCGAACGCGCTCAATGCTCAGGCGGTGTTCCCAGTAGACATGAAAAAATCTGCGCAGGCACTAGTAGTCGAACGCAACTAGCCACTTGAAGTCCGTTGATTTAATGGGCAAGGTTCCGCAAACAGTAACTGACAGCTGCAGTGTAAACTCTGCGCTTCATAGCTAGAGTTATATCGCGCCGGCGCTACAGGTAGCGGATATTGGCAAAAGCACCTCGAACTTTTGCTATATGGTTCATGACCCCATCTACTATCTCATGGGCGCTAATATAACTGTACAGATACTTGAATTCTTGCAGGACTTCTAGCCGAACATCATCAAGAGTTAGTGCAGGGGTCTTAGTTACGTATGATCATTGCTGCCTTCGCAACCTAGCTGAGGGGTGGTATGAACACCGCGTGGGCAATAGGCGTGTTCGGTGTCGTGTATATGGTGCAAAAAACGAGTGAACAGCTCAGCAACGTTATCTCACGCATCAGGCTCTGATGGCTGGGCCACATGATGCGCATGCCAGCACACCGACTCCATCATTGTTCGTTGTTTGCGTGCTGGGGAGGTGGATGGAAAAGGAGGAGCTGAGGCAAAGCGATAACTTGGTCAAGAGGAAGGAAAACCTTCATTTTGAAGTTGGCGATGATTGGTGCTTTCCGACTGCCTGACTAAAGTACGAAGAACGATGAACACGTCTGGTTGGATACGCGTTGACATGGCTAGGAACCGACCTCAAGGCCGTTTGTGTTTGTCCATCCCCCTTCACTTTGGCTCCCCTTCAACAATGATCTCATACATAAAGCATAATACGTTATCCTTTTAGTTTTGTAGTCTGTAATGTTTAATATCTTAGTCTTTTTGTAGTGCGGAACATTAGTTGAGGTGTGTTTTACACCCACAGCTGACGTGTATTGATGATGATGAGGATGCAATGGTGTGTTCCTGCAAACCTTGCGGAAGGACTTTACATCTCGACTGTACAAAATATAGCCCAACACGAGTGACAATCGATGCCAAGTTGTTCAGTGCTACTTGAAAGGTTCGGGAGCTGTCACAAATAAGGACAATGTAGTCGGCGTACCCTAAGTCAAGAAGTCGAGCACCTGGGAAGAGCTTACGCCTTGTACTCGTGTTCGATGAACGTAGTCTAAGTGAATTCGTGGATGCAGAAGTTAAAAAGGACAAGTAACAGTGGGTATCTAAGTATCGCACTGCGGGTGAACGGGAAGAGAATACGCAAAATGACCGGTAGAAGATGCCATTAGAACGGTAGGAGCATTTGGGCGAAGTGTGAAACAGAACTACAGTACAATCGCAAAAAACGGACATATCTGGACGATAGAATTATTAGTAAAAATGTTTGTCAGGATGCATACATGCCTCTAAATTAGGTACTCAAACAAACACCTACCCAGGACATCCAACGGAATATCATCTTCTGAGGGTACGGGGACAGCGTCAGCAGGCTCATCAAAGTCCGACTGAAATTTCGACACCTCAGGTACAACAGTCTCCTAAATGAGAGAATTATCAGATGATGCCATTGGTGAGGACGAGTGAGAACGAACTGTAACACATTATCAGTGCTTCCCCAATGATCGCAAAGCGAACAGAGTGAAAAATGTTGCGTGTACCATGCGAAACCAATTAAAAGGGACGACAAACATTTATTAATGGTAATCGCATTTCATTGAGAACCAATCTCGCTTTGGCTTGGTCGTGATTACATTGACCATACATTTACACTGTGGCAAGTACAGAAAAGGAGATACACTTACAGGCGACCGATTAAGGTGATTTTCCTAAACCTGCAAGCTGTCAATGACTTCGTTGATCGCGCCAGGACATCAACCAGTTAAAGATAGGGTTCATAAGGTAATATTGTATGGAACAAAGATCTGGTAATTTCGCACCGAACACAACAAACAATTGGCTGACTATAATCTCTCGTGCATGCAGAGTATTGCTTACACCCAGTGAGGGCACCGGTTGAGCAAAGGTGAAGTCATCCAGTTGATGCCTAGCAAAAGATAAGCTGGAGACATCACTGTCAAAGTTGAATCACATACATCGGCTAAGTCGTCTTCCGTAAGCCCACCATCATCGGCGTGCTTGTGATCCCATTATGGAACAAAACTGGACGAAATTGCCCGGTGGTCAGTTAGTAACGCAGCATGAAGAAATCGGAGACTGAGACTTGGCTAACCTGATGCATGTTATCTTGGTGGACGATGCCCTTGATAGCATTTACATTAAAAAGAAAGGCAACAGCCGTAAACCGGCATATCGGACTGATACTTCGCTGCCACGTAATCACCACCAGCCGAGGGTGGAATGGGTAGACCGCGAGGTCACTCGCACCTACTTGGACTCGAATGGGTGAACGCCGGATTACAAAGCAAGTGGGTAATCCACATTAAACGTAGGAGATCGTAAGCGAGATGATGCAGCTGTGAAGTCGATGGAGCGCCTGCATTCGTCCGCTTGTGCCAATCTTTAAACTTTCCAACCAGATTCTGCCCATTCATTATCTATAAAACCCCTTATTCCGTACTGTAACTAGGATTCCACCTCGATTTCCCGCCTGACAATAGGGGTTATGGCAACTGAATCTTCTACACTTCTATGAGGGAACACGGCTGCTATATCGAACCGGCTCTCGTGCATTCCTGTCTTCTCATAATCTCGACAACCGCGTAGTATTGCTACTAACAAGATAACGAAAGTGAAGTGGGTGAACACCCCTAAACATTCAAAACTTCAGTGTTCATACGTACAAAAGGATCAAACGAATGAAAACTAGCTACAACCAGCCGAATCAAGTTGCAGGTGCAGTAATGGAGACTGACGAACAGATAATATGATGCAACTTTGTTAAGTTTTCTGCTTACAATGTCGATTGTTGACGTGTCTGGTGAGAACGACAAACTGGACCACTTAATTGTCTTGTAAAGCTAAATCACCGCCACATCGCACGCTGGAAGGAGGCAATATCAGTGGCATCCTTTTGTTTAGATATTACTATAAGTGGCACAACAGAAGGATAAACCATAAAGCAACATTGTCCGATGAACGATGTGCCGTGAGAGTAACCGGCCCGAGTAAGGACTGAATTGGAGAATTGATATTGACTATACTTCGCCGTAGGGTATATAAAGGAGCATCCGACAGACGAGTAATGGGCACGTATGCAACCAAGAAAGAACAGCCCGTGGGACGCATGTACTACGATGGTGAGTGAACAGCACAGAAGAAAACATATCGGTAGACCAAAGTGTTCCGCCAATTCGTTGACAACTGAGCAGCTGAAGTTCCCCTAATAACTCGAAGAAGTGTGAAACAACAAGCGGATTTAACAAAAAATCAATTCGAAATAATTTGGAACACTGGTAGCCCGGGTTGGTTGCTCACCTGTTGATCGTTTCTCCGAGTTTGATAGGATAGGACAGGATACGCAAGAAAACAGAAAAGATACCAACGAACAACCGAAAAAAATCGTACAAAAACCTGAGATACGAATAGAACCGATCGGGAACCCGTGAGTTCAGAAGTGGCTGGTGTTACCGGAGCCCGTCCATAGCAACCATCGAAGCTAGCTATTTCTCTGTCTGGAGCAGCCCGGAGAAGATTGGTTGTATGCCACCTGTAGCCGTGTGCCTAGCTAATGAGAGTAAGTCAATGGCATCGTTTTACCTCGAAGTGAACCAATCAGAACGGCTTACCTTGAAGCCTACCAGTAAGCACACTGCTTGCTCAGCCAACAAGCGAGATTTTGTGCATCTAGTAGTTGCTATAGTCAGGAACCTTCAATTAGGTCTTTTCTCTCATGAACTATTTATTTCGATCTAATATTTTAGCTGTACATTCTGTCTTCCGAGTGTTCCATACAAGTTCCGTTAGAGGCCTTTATCTTCTTATTTGGAAAGTGGCTGTATCGTGACCAGAGTGCTTGCATCGGTTATCCGTACTGTCGGCGGAAACATAACATTTGATAGTTTTGGTAAAAAAAATTTAGTATTTCACCCAAAAGGTTCGTCAGGCCGAGTGAACTGGAGCATAGTTGAAGTATCACTTATGACAAACTGAGGGATAAGCACAGAAAACGATGCATGTGGAAGAGAGTAAGCACCGTTTAGTTCAGTTAGACAACTATGATCCGGGCAAAGAAGTACGGTAGAGCCAATTGTCAAGCCTCACGTCGCCAGAATTACAAGAAATAACGGCACAAAGAAGTTTAAGGAGAACAGAAAAGAAAGGAAGTGGAATCAAGAAAGAAGTGTGTTAAACAAACCGGGATGAAGTTAAAATAAAAATAGGAACGTAAGAAACCGAATGTAGGAGAGCCACTGACTGCACGACGTCCCATAGTGCCTCTAGCCAAACGTGCGGATCCCTCTGAGGTCTGCATAAACAAACACTGCATGCACTAGCCTGGCCAAGTCTCTGAGACAGCTTTTTCCAGCCATTGTGCGACGTCAGCAACTGGCCGCCTAGAGATTTCACACAATTTGTTGCAGTCACGACACATAATGCACGCCGAGGAATCCGGTCCACGGGCATGTGGAAAACAGGCCAAGCCAACGTAAGCGTTTGAGTTTGAGAAAACACTCGAATGAGGCACCAGACTGCTTCTTGTCGGACACCAACAAGCGGATCACAGCAGTGCGCATTCAGTGTTCCCACCAAAGAGCAATACACCGTAAGCACCAGTAATAAAAGAGATCAATCGTTTAATGAATTCATTAAGAACTAGTCAGATCTCTTTTCCATGTAATTCGAAGGGGCAAAACACATGCCGAAGCGCTACGCACTAACCTACCCAGTAGTTCATGAAAACCTACTGCGTCAGACCCAAGGAGACCTACGTCGCACATCTGGTATAATTTTCTCTTCGGAAGATCCAGAAAAATAGAATCATTTCGAGCAAAAAGATGAAAGAAGATACAGCACAATCCTAGTGAACCCCACTTAAAGTGGAGAACTCGGGAGATAAATTATGTGGACCTCTACCCAACCTGGGGATCTATGACAGAGACTTCGGAACAGAAAGGGATTTCCCAGGCACTCCCTTCATGAACAGGAAGTGCCACAAGCTAGCTCGACCAACATAGTTGAAGGCGACTTTCAGGTCAAGAAAACCCCACTATAATCAGTTGGATGTAGGTGGGTCTCTGCTATGACACTTGACGAAAAGTAAATATGTGGTCGATACAACGACAAGCAGGGCGAAAATAAGCTTCGTTTTCAATTATCCGGTTCTCGCGAGCGCCGGTAAGTCGTCGAGGAATGACATAGTTGAGGAGTTTGGAGGTAATGGAAGTAAAGACAACGCCTCGGTGATTTCTGTACAAAGTACATCGACTCTTTGAATTCGGGCAAGACGGTTGAGAGTCGTCAGGCTGAAGGCACCTCTTCAGTGTTCCAAATCCTGTTCCATAGAGAAGTGAGTCCAGTCAACGAGGAGTCACCACCATCTTTCGGCGAAGATGAAGGTCGGCAACCTCATGCTAAATCTCTTCCAAAGTGAAAGGTATGACACTAACTTCTCGGCGCAGGTGATTCAGCAAACAAAGCAGTCGCAGCCGGCCAGTTGAACCGCTCTTCAAAATGTTCCAACCAAAAGATCATCTCAGAACAGATCAACTGTCCATTTTTCTCAGCTACTGCCTCGGACACGTGTTCTGGACGAGCTGGAACAGCACTCGGCTGTCCCCCAGAGCCGTGGCTTCCTGAGTCACACAGGCCTTTGTTAACCACTGGCGTTCCCGGTTAATGCGAAGACTCCTTGTTGTTAATCGTTGTTTCAGGACGCTACAGACACGCTGAAACTCAGTACCCATTGGAAACCGCTTTTGTGCTTCAACCAAACTGATCAAAGCGTCAGAGATGCATACACAGTTTGGAAAACAACTGGTGTCAAAAGCATTGTTCATGGTATACTTGAGGCGGACTATCTAACTCATTCATCACGGATAATTGGAGACCAGTTCGTCTTGAAATTGTTGAACTGAGAATTGCGAGTTCACATCATATGTAAGAAGCGTAGAATTTATGCGCTTCTGTAAAATGGGAAGAGTAAACGCTAGGCGCACACACTTGTGTATGGTCGGAATACGGGCACTTGCTCTAACTTAACAGTCTTGAAGCCATATGCGCCATTTGATCCTGATGGCAATGTGGTCAATTTGGGTTTAGATCATCAAGGAATTCAGTGGATGCCATGTGACACGATGTCAGTTTGGATGAAAGACAGTGTTTCTAACATAACGACTGTGGTCGGCAAATAGTTGCCGGAATGGATCACCATTGGCTGTTCGGCGTACATCGACCACCAAGCAGCCACCCAGATGTTGTTCAAGATCCCACTTGGGTATTCATGTCATCAGCTACAATCATGTGATATCAGTCTTCCTCGCCATGCGAAGAGATGAGAACCGACAATAGAAATCATCTTTCAAGTCACCCAAACTGCAGTCAGTAGGGACGATGGAAAGGTGCCCTGTCTTCAGACAGATTTTATTAGTGTTGGAAGTTTGTGAGTAGGGAAAAGTTTGTAAAAAGTAGAAGTCACGATTAAAATTCACGCACAGTAATATGCCTCGACGGGGAGTCGAACTCCGGTCCACGAATTTCCGGTCCGCGGACCGGAAATTCGTGGACCGGAGTTCGACTCCCCGTCGAGGCATATTACTGTGCGTGAATTTTAATCGTGACTTCTACTTTCTACAGATTTTATTAGCCCCAACAGAGGCTCGAAGTCGAACCACATACATGAGGTTTTTCAATGGTATCTAGCCAAGTAGATTGCGTTCAGCGTGTTTGCTGAGGGCGAATGCTCGTTCTAACCTCAGCTACAATGAACAGTATGGCACCACTGCAGAGCTTCGTGCAACTTTAAGCAAATTCCTGAACACCACATTTGTCTCGGAACTCCTGAACCTTAATACACACCCGTTGATGAGCTATGAGAAAACTGCTCTGGTCGATTCTAATGGCATACCCCTTGGAACCCAATTTAAACCAGTTGACATGCATGTCTCCTGTACCCACTCCAACGCACAGTATAGTGCATTATATACAGATCCGTGACAGAATTCTCTACTTAAGATATTTAAAATGGATAAAACTGACATCACTGTATCGGTCTCCGTTTGGATATTGGTTAATCTGTATGGTCGAGTTGCTAGGCAGTCCTCTATGTTTTAAAGTAACTCAATTTGCTTATCACTACTGTAGGGAAGACAATAAATGTCCGAAACACTCACCTCAGTTTCGCGTGATGGCGATGGATTTTCGGGCGAATCATGACACCTCGATAACTCTTCGAGTGTCGCATGAGGCGGAGAGACGGCGCCAGTGTCACAAACAGTTGTTTCCGTAACACGAGTAGGCGACGGAGCAGGGGGTAAAGTGAAGTCGTCAGTCTAGAAAATTAATGGAATGTAACTAGGAAAAACACTCGAGGCAAATGTAAAGGAAAGCCATGGATACGAGGACTCAGACTCACTCGTGGAGATTTGACCGAATTCAAAGAGGTGGCTGATGAGGAATGGTGCATAGCAACGGTACCATGAATCTCTTCTAAAGGCCGGCGCCTCATTCGTCTCAACTCCTCCAGTTCAGCCTGACGCTCTAAACGCTCCCGTTCAGCTTGGCTAAGCGTGCTCCTGGCTACGTCTGCAGGACCAGGCTTAGGGGTTAGCGCTGGTGGATATTTCCCATAACTGTTAGCACTAGGAACTGTCCGTCCAGTAAACTGTGCCATACGCGTCTTTTAGAACGAAAGATGAGTTGAGAGTCAAAATACAGATGGAGGAAGAACTAGCAAAATAAATTAGGCCGTTAGCAGAGGTACGATTGATAAGTAACGGAAACAAACGAGTTACGTCCTTCCATTTGGCTAAATACCGCGTGGTTAAAAAAGTGACTGGTATAGTGAAGTGGTCATTGCATGAAGCGGTGGCAACACGAAATCCTAAGTCAGACCGCAGTTTACATGAAGTGAACCCCGGTCATCTCAGTTACATGAGGCGGACAAGTATCAGGAGCTGGTTCTCTAAAAATTCTACAAGACCGGTTTCGTTTTCGTTTGAGCTTTCTGGGAAGAAATAAACCGGGTCGAACCAGGATGTAAGCTACAGACTCGAGGAGAAAACTTATGAATAACGTCGAAATTATAGGGAAGGTCATAACTAGCGCAAGCTGAAACGAGAGGAAGTGTATCAGTAAATACTTGCCTTGACAAGCGAGCTTTGTGGGTGTTCTGTACGCTTGGTAGCCATCAGCTGTTCCCAACGCGCTTTATGAGCCGACACTGGAAGAAGTTCTAAAGTTGACAAGCTCTCCTACAGAGTCTAGGAATTAGGATAGACTTACCCGACAAGCATCTCCAGCAGCCGGTTTGATTTTCATCTTGTTAGAATTATACTGGTTGAAAACGGAAGGATGTCTTACATCATCTTCCCGAATGGAAACCTGTCAAGTGTTGTGCGAAGCAAAACAACTAACTTCTTCTGCTAGCTCAGCTAGTTTCTTTTTCAAATTACACTCATGCTCTTTAGGCTGATCTAAAAGACTGTCCAAAAATATCCGCTCATAAACAGAAATTACCGAGACATTTTGGGACTTGAAGGCTTCGAGCTGCAAGGAGAAAGGCTGAGCTACTGAGGAACGGAGAAAAAGTGCGAGTGTAAAGCAAGGCATCAGCAATACGTCGATACACATTGCCAAGGCTTCGCAGCCGTGCAACCACCACCAGTTGCATGTGGGCTACAGATACCGCGAGGGTCGCCTTATGCTTATGTAGGCTCGAATCCGTGCAGTCAGATAACAAGCTTATCATCTTTAGGCTATAGGCCAGTAGTGTGAAGCAATATGCCTCGACAATGGTTAAGGTAAAAATGAAGCATGCAGTCTATTCGGATGACGCTAACGAAAAAGCACACATAATCGTCAACATTAGCGATGATATTGCCATTGTTAGTGCCACTGCCGTCATCAAGAGTTAATAGGATATTTAACGCAAAACATTCCCGAAAAAATGAGAGCACGTTATAAGTAAAAAAGACGTTGATGAAAGGGGCCCTAAAAACCCGTTATGCGTTCGTGGTAAAAACTCAATACAAAACAGTTTGGGAGAAACACGCCCGAAAACACATATGCACCGTTGGTGTTCATAAGGTAGCTCTGTGGACCTATTTAGTTTGATAAACGCCATAATAAGAATACTAATATTATTAATAATAATAATAATAATAGTGATAACGATAATGATCAGGAATATAAGAAATGCATAGGAGTGAGTAAGAGGTAATTGCCAGACAGGAATAAAGAGAGATAGATGATGAACATAACAGGTAGAAATAAGAGAGCAAATAATAGGATGGAACTGAGTGCGTGGGCCCATCCAGAGAACCATACCTAGGGAGAGAAAGCGCCAGCCTAACCTAACCTTTCTCTGGATTATCTTGTAGTTTGGTGTCATCTAGCAACTGTATCCAACCATGCTACAAATCAAACAATAGTCCTGAACTGGCGTGCGATATCTACTCTTAATGGTGATGTGATCCACTTCAGTCCAGGCTAGCTTTCAGCAGATGATCTAGCCACATCTTGGTCGCGACGATTCCTAGCCTTGACGTGCTGAGGTTTGCGTGCAGCAATGATTCATTCAGCTGTACGGTATGGTACTTCTTGCACCTGGAGTACCTCAGTTGGGTTAACCAATGGTTACATGTCGGACAAACTTAACTTGCTGGTTCTCCAAGATTTTGATTGGAAAGAGGGCGGCTACTTAATCCTAAAAGACGGATTACTCCCGGCCCACATTAAAACCCTCGATGCATTGTGATTAGGTTTTTGAACCAAATGCTAGGATTGAGAACCCGAAATGTTTTTTGTCTACGTCTGGATAAACTTAAAGCACCCAGTAAACGTATACAATGACTAAGTAATTGGGTTCCTGATGCTATGGTCGTCGCAAAGAATAACGTCTCGAACGTGGTGGAGGGATGGTGCTACAGTTCAACAATCCCCGTTCCTTATTCCCCCTCACACTTTTCATCCCACCATGCCGCTGCAACATCACTGTCCCCAACGTTTGGATTTCTACATTTTGTTCTGACATGCGTTTGCTGTCTGCTTTGGGCTCACCTGTAATCACAAGGCTTCAATTCAGTTCCCCGACAGGTCCAGGTCCAAAGGAGCGGAAAAACTCAGTTCACCCGCTTATATTTGGAGCCTCGGATCATCAATTAGACTGAAATACTTCGACGTACGCACTTTGTTGCAGTGCAGTCAACAGAGCATTTACTGGAACATTAGAGGTCCTATCGACCAATATCTGCCGCTTATTGGTGTGGTAGCTGACTTCTTTTAGTGACTCGTTGTTCACAATCTATATTATAAGGAGCAAAACAATGCGCATTTTTTCATTCGTTTGTGCCACTTTCATTGCTCTGAAAACTGTTTCCTATTCGATTTCTGTTGATTTATTCGCTGTGGGACACAACGCTGTCGATCACTCTTTTCTTCTTTTCAACCGGTGCACCTCTGAACTCTAATTTTTACTTCTTCCAGCTGGGCGGTTGTCAGTCGTCGGTTGGTTTCCCTGCTTGAAAGTCCGATATTCTGCTTTGGACATTTGGAGCTAGTGTGAAGTGTGTGAACTAAGCGACTATCAGTCGCGATTTCCAATCCATAAAAGTCGGAAGCCCGCCTGCAACACTTTAAATATGCACTCACTGCACGTATTTACTTTATTTTTACACTTTCCCCCGGGTACAACTCAAACAGAAATACGTATAAAAGGTAAAAACAGAAGCAAAACACAAGTGATCATATGCCCTGATTTTAGTACACCACCGGAATAAGAACATGATGGAAAGGGGCTCAGGAAAAAGTGACAAAGGAACTTTCATCGTAAAGGTATTTGAGGTCGGCTATTGGCAATATCAACAGGTGTATCCAACCGAACATGCACATAATGCCTCTAGCCCAACTCAATGGTCGGAAAACTGAGTTTTAAATGGGAGCCTCCATTCTTCTAAATCAACTCACCGAATGGTCTCTACTCTTTTCTATCCAGACTCCGGACGCGCAAACAACGCACCTAGCGGGAGTTGCTATACTGCAATGCGCACCAAGTGAACCAGTCACAGAAGCCTTGCGTGCGAAATGACAGTGCTGAGCGGTTCATGCGCTCCTGTTACGCAAAACACAAGATACCGAACATTTTCACTGCTAAGGTGGTGTTCCCAGAAGACATAAAGAGGCAGTCAAACGCACTCTACCAATTTACGTCTATGGATCATATGGGACAAGTCTCACAACCGTACAGTAGGATCGGACGGACGGACGCATTGTAGGCCCTACTCTACTGGGCGAACATTGTATTTTTCGCTGGCATTAAAGATACTCGATAAAGCTATTTACAATCCCGGTCAATACATTTCTGAATCAGAAGACAAACGCCTCGACAAAACTTTAAATTGAGCTCGGAGAATACAGCCTTATTGCCATTTAAACTGGACGTGATTATATATTTCATTGGACATGTTCTAGAGAAAAGTTCGTGCTATCAGAAACCATCAGCTGTCGGTAAGTGTTTTCAATGACTGACTCCTAGTCAATGAACTTCGAGCTAGGTTTCTCCAAGCTGAGGGATACGACCTGAATGGTTCCTATAAGCTTAATATGCGTGATGTTCCACCCGCAAGACAAGCGGCGAGGATTAGTAAAAACGCTTCGAGCTTTTGTCATAAGGTTGTTAATCTCATCTATTCCACAGGCGTTAATATAGCTGCCCATGTAACAGTTCTGGACGGATATTAGTTGATCATGAAAGGTCAGCGAAGCGGTTTGTCGCTGAAAATCTTGGGGGGAAACTGCATGTCAAGGGTGCAACACACATAGCCAGTACTAATCTGTCGAGTGCTACTTCGTACACTGTCATGTAAAAAATCATCGGTGTATATACAGTCGACACGTAGCCTTAAGGCTCACAAACCTGCCTTGTAATTTGAGGGCGCGGTTTCGAGCCTGCGTAAGGATCGGGCGACTCGCGGTGTCTGTAGCCCATGTGCTACTAGTGGTGGTTGCGCAGCAGCAGAGGGTCGGTACTGCATACCGGCGTAATGATGATGCCTTTCTTTCTTCCGTACATCCAGCACAGAAATCGGCCATCTGCAAGTGGCCATCTTAGTCGATTTTGACGCAGGTAGTTCGTTATTTGCTCAGTACATGCATACAGGATATATACAGAACAGTGGCTCGGCCGTAACCCGTTCCACATCGGAGGGAACCACGTTGAGCCTAGCATCGTCACGAGGACCGTACACCCCGTCTCTCCAAGCAAAGACCAACTGTCTCATGGAGCCAGTATAATCGAAGTGGTGATTTATTATGGCTGGGTGCCTTATCAACATTCGCTCCGAAAGAGGATGAACACTTTTTGCTGGATACACTTGCTAACATGGCTAACAGCCGAACGCAGTCGCGTTCATGTTGAGTTTCTTTGTCCCTCCCAATCCCTCTTAGTATCCCCTTGAATGGCGATCTCATTCCTTAGCATAAAAGAAATCTGGCATAATAAATCTTTTTGTTGAATCCTCCAAGGGGAAAATGGAAGTGAGTTACAACAATTCTTCCCGCGCAACCCTGACCGTTCCACACGATGTCACACATGGAAGCTGTTTAACCAAAGAACAGACTGAATTCGCATGGACCTATACATTAGCGTGGTTCATGATTGGAACGGCCTACAGGAAGAAATTTCATACGCGCCATCCGAGGAAAGTTTTAAGCGACTTCAAGACAAATATTCACTGAAAATGCTGGAATCTTGCGGTTGTCATTACAATTGCGTTAAACCATCGAGGAACGTCGTAACGACACGCATCAAAACCAGAATGATAAGGAATCGACGGGGCTGATAAGGGCGTGTCATCCTGCTATCTCTCTCTCTCTCTCTCCAAAAAATCAATCCATACCCGAGAACGGGTACGAAGTAATCCGGGGAAAACAGTGCCCCTGAATTATTTCAATTACGCAAAATTTGAAAAAAGTCAAAAATTCGCACCACACTCTTCACTGAGTTCATTGAGTTGTGGACGGCATAGGGAGATCCCATGTCAACCCCGTCACCCCCGATTCCGAAATGGAGCATGTATCATTGTGACCAGCAGTCCTAGTAGGCTGGAGAAATCGCAGTGGAACAGTGCAATCCTGATATTTTACACAAGTGGGAGTCTAAGAGCCGTTTGGAACCTTTCTCAGACTGTGCACTGATAACGTCCTCCGGAAGGCGGTTCCAGTCGTTTATCACCCGCGTGGATAGGGCGACAGCAGTGTGAACATTGAGCCTCCTCAATTTAAAGGGTTTCAAGCCGTGGTCTCGTGTCGAACCTCCTTTATTGAGCTGGAAAAGTTGTGGTTCGTTTCCAAGTTCCCCCCTTAATATGCGTCTGGTGAAACTTATGCTCCGCGCGGCGACGACGTTAGCCCAGGAAGAAAACGTTCATCTGTTGGAGCCGAAGGGGTAAGAGTGGTTCCGTAGTCCAGAGACAAACTTCAAGCCACAACTCTGGACTTTTCATTCGGGATACATTACAATTTTGAGAGTGGAATGACAACGGGTAAGCCATACTTGATGATTGGGCGTACGTGAGGAATAAATAAACCGCTGAAAATATCCGGTGTCCTTCGAGAGAATGATCATCCTATGGTCAGCACACCCTGTTAGCAGCGGCCACTCTTCAGTGTATCTTAGGTGGTCTTTAGGTTAAAGACAACTATTACACGCGTCTTTCTCTTAAAAAGTATTCTTGAGAATGAAACCACCAATATGGTAGGTATCGAGTGGCTCAGACGCACCTATTGGATGGAGGCACCATTTTTCATAGTTGATGGGTAAGCCCCATTTGATAGACCACTGGTGCATCACATCTAACGAGTCCGGTTTATATCAGCGGTATCAAGTTCGGATACCTCATATCATAGGTTAAAGTCATCTGCATAGATTAGATACCCATTTTGAAGTAACCAAGCAACGTCATTTATGAAGAGCTTGAAAATTTCGATCTCAAGGTCAGAAACTTGCGGAACCTCACAAGTCATGCGCAAGTCATGCGCGGCTGAGTGTCGCGTTTACCTCCCATTGCAAGGTTCTTCCGGCTAGAAAATCTGCGATCCAGGAGTAAAGGTTATCACTGAACCGAATATCGCAGAGCTTGCAGAGTACTTGATGATATGCGACCTTTTCGAAAGGTTTGCTAAATCGACGAAGACCACACCTAATAGCTGACTGGCATCGATTGATCTCGTCCATTTTCCCTTGCGACTAGCAGATTATTGGTGCAAGTGCGCTCATTCTAAAACCCGCGCTGTGTATAGGATGCGATGTTCAATTCATTACAGTGCTTATGGTGAGCGCATTTAATCATCCGTTCCCTGATGTTGCCCACTATCGATACCAGGCAAATAGGGCGATAGTTCATCGGCGCTTGAGGGTTCTCGCCATTGTACTTTGGCATCACGATGCCTGGTTTCCAGTCGATGGGTATACGACCAATTTTTAGACAAGTGGAAGACTTGGCTGATGGGTTCAGCCACGTAGTCAGCCACTGTCTTGCGGAACTGCGGTTGAAATTCATCAGGGCCCAGTGAGGAGTTTGGATCTAGCTCTAGCAGGAGTTTCATAATAGTTACCGTATTGAGCTCGATCTGATGCAGACTATGGAACGTGTAGACTCAAAGCTTTTGGTAGACTGAGCTTCTAGTGAAGATACGGTGGAGTAATGCCTTGCCAAAAGATCCGCTTTCGCTTTATCCTCGTAGAGTTCAGAGTAGGCTGTATAGGAGAACAGCGCGGGGATGTCAGCTGGCTTTGGGCCTACTGTTAATGTTCGCATAGAGCTTTTTGGACCTAGGCCGGGATTGTTCAGTCAGATTCCGTTCATAATGGAGCCTGTTCTCGTGTTTGTGTAGAGAACAGAGGTTTCTAACCTTCATACACTGGGTAAAATACGAGAACTTGAAGCTATCCCACAGATTGCTTCGTTGGTTCATCAGGATCCGTAGTTCTAGATCAATCCAGATAGAACTTCTCACAAAACGCCGTCGTTTGGGACAACCTGTTCAATCAGCAAGTTCGTTTTGAAGCGCGAAAGAGTCCAGGCACAGGCGGGTTCCGTGTCATGAGGCACATTTTAGTCAAGCTTGCCAGCCACCTCTCTAAGGCGGGATGGGTCGGTGCGCCAACAATTGCGGCGTTAGATGCATTGGTCAGAGGATGAGAGCAGAGTGGTCGCTATGACCAACTGGTGGCAGAGTGGTTAATTCGGTGATGTCAGAATATACTTGTAGTGCTTATAAATTCTTTACATTTTATTGTAACTTCCTATTCTATTTTCCGACAACTAGGGTACATTTGTTTCAACTCACATCCAAATAGATGCTTCGAATTTTGTTCGTCTTCTGGTCTCAGTGACGCTGTCACTGTGGATTGTTGTGTGTGTGCCTCGCATCGGCCGCCGGATCACATTTTACGGATCAGCGTTCGATTTCTCCTTTCGTGCCATCAGACAAGTCTGCTGATTTTTCCCAACTGTTACCTGAATGAATAGTCACCCTAAGTTCTTATACACCGTAAACTTTAGCGGTTAATACCTGTCAGACACTAGACTGGTGCGAGTACCAGATCGAGGGTATGGGGTGTCTGGCTCGGAAGTATATTTGTCGGCGTGGAGACATGTTGCGATAAGTTTTTATCGAGGACTGCTCTAAAAAGACCAGCCCACAGTGAAGCAGATCCAGTCAATATCCGGTGCATTGAAGTCACCCAGAATTAGGCAGTTTTTACCCCTCCCATAGGTCTTGAGTGAGTCCAGAACACAATTACCGCTACCGGATGTGGCTATGTACACTGTACCAACCGTAAGGAGTTTGCATCTGTCTTGAATTCGACACCAGAACATTTACGTACCACCATCGCTAATCGCCTTGATAGTGTGTGCCCTCCACAACAATGAAAATCAGGAAATGCTAATGCGAGTAAGTAGTAGACCATGGATAAACGAAGTGCATGATCGCAGCTAAACAAACCCGTGCAAACAGCATGTCTAAAAGCAAATTTGGCAGATTCAGGTGGGACTGGAACGATAGGAAAATACCTTGAGTGTTCCTTCTTGAGCGGAGCGTTAAGCCAGGAAATGAGGTGCTACGAGGCCTTGATGAATCTAAAACGAAACACCCGAACCACACCCTGGTCAACCAATTACTGCCCACGTTCCCTGCAATGGCAGTCCCTGTTGTGTAGGTCACGTGAAGTAAGGAAGACGTAGGAAGAAAATGGAAGATAGGGAGAGATCATTTAAATGAAGGATAACATCAGTGAGGAGAATAACAGAATATGAACTTAAAGTTGGAAAATGGATATGGTCAGGAGAAAGGAAAAGTTTCATGTTGTCACCTAAGAGCGTCTAACTGATGCTCGAAAGCCTTAACGGTAGGTTCACTGACTACACTTTCTGGAAGCGAGTTCCAGCGATAACCGAGTTTCCGCCCTGATCCGGTCGGAACGCGGCGTGTGTACCTTCATGGGATGACCGCGAAGACAAGGCAACCTAGCCGGGCTAAATAGCCAGTGCAAGTCCGGTTCAACCTTATTGTTAAAATGCGGTAAATAAGGAGTAAAAAACAACAACAACAGCAGTACATCAGCCGTTTGAACTGATTTTTCGCTGCCATACAATCACGATGACCTGTGAAATAAAGAATAATAAGCGGGAGAGAAGAGGGACTTACCTGAAAATCTTAATGCTCTAAGCAAACTTTAAGGGCCAAGGCGCCTACACCTTGTGTAGACAACATACCGTCGCAAACAGCTGGCTATCTTGCAAAGATAAGTCGGCATCGGCAAGACAGCTTCCTTGCGGCTTTCACTGCCACGCGTCATAATCAGCCAGTACCGCGCAGCTAACTCAGCACGAAACACACTTTAAACAGGCAATCTGATTGGGAGACGGCAGCAGACGCGCCACTAGTGTCGGTTGAGAGCCATGTCCTGTAAAGTCTCGAGCCAAGCACAAGGCAAGTCATGTGGACTCCAGTCCGGAAGGCGAGAA